ACCTGGGCAGAAGAAAGGGGAACTGTGGGGGAAAACTCTGTAGAGTAGGCAGAAATCCACTTTATGACATCTATGCATTGTTCCTTCAATTGGATTAAAAACAACTCCTTATTAGCGTGATTTAACTGAAAAAGCAGTCAGTTATGTATGCTCTTTTTATTTTAGCTGGCCAGAGAATTCCTATTCCTCTACTCCTCCCCAACGTAAAGGACTAACAACTTAGATTTGAACAGGAGAGCCACACAGGCCATAGACAGTGTTTCCCGATGATGGTTCATAAAACTGGCTGGGAGGGCTGGAGAGATGGCTCAGTGGTTAAGAGCATTGCCTGCTCTTCCAAAGGTCCTGAGTTCAATTCCCAGCAACCACATGGTGGCTCACAACCATCTGTAATGAGTTCTGGTGCCCTCTTTTGGCCTGCAGACATACACACAAACAGACTATTGTATCCATAATGAATAAATAAATAAATATTAAAAAAAAACTGGCTGGGAATGTTTGCTGAAAGCAGTCATTCCTGAATCCTGACCAAATCCCATCAAAACCTGTGGGGAGGGTCCTGGCCTCAGTATTATAATAAGTAGCCAGAAAACGTAGATGCTTTTGTTTTTGCTTAGAAAGAAGTGTCTGTGGGTTCATAAGGGAATATTTGAAGCTATGCCCTTTTATTCAAATGAGCAAACATGATCAAGAACAGATCCTGTTTGAATGAAAGAATGGTTGGGTTTTTCAGCAGAAGAGGAGGCAGAAACAATGTAAGAGCCAGAGGGGATGGAGGACACCAGAACAAGGCCCCCAAACTCAAATGAACAAAGCTCACATGAATTCACAGAGAGTGAAACAGCAGGCGCAGGGCCTACACGGGTCTAACAGTGGGTCCTGCTCACATACTTTATGACTTTTGGTTTAGTGTTTTTATGGGGCTCCTGAGTGTGTGAGTGAGCAATTGTCTGATCCTGTGCCTGCTCCTGGGCTCTTTTCCTTCTCTTGCTTTGTCTTGTTCAACCGTTTTGTGACAGGCTTTGTTTTATCTTATTATATTTTTTTTCATTATTTTTATTATCTCTCAGAAGCCTGTTCTTTCTAATAAGAGGCATAAAGGGAGTAGATCCTGATGGGAGAAGAGGTAGGGAGGAACTGGGAGGAGGAGAGGGAGGGGAAACTGTTATCAGGAATGAGAACAGAACATGTTTTTAATAAAAGTGGGAAATATGAGAGAATAATAGTGTGTTTAAAAAATGTCTGGTGTAGATGATAATAATTTTCAAATAACGTTTTAGGTAAAATGACAACCTATAAATGTCTTAACATACAATATTGGATTCTCTGAAAACATAAGTAAAATACTGTATTTATTGTGAAAGTTAGAAATTCACTCTTGAATTCCATCAAGTAGTTTTCCTGAAAAGGTCATGTGGAGTTCAAAGGGAAAGTGTCTGCTTTATTTTAGAAAATGTAACTATACTCGGGAGGCAGAGGCAGCACTTGGGAGGAGAGGCAGGTGGATCTCTGGGAGTTTGAGGCCAGCCTGGTCTACAAGAGCTAGTTCCAAGACCAGCACCAAAGCTACAGAGAAACCCTGTCTCGAACCCTGCCCCCCCCCCCAAAAAAGAAAATGTAACTAACATCCTGTAAAAACAAGTTTATTGTTATAGTTTTGCCCATGGCTGTGATAAGATCTCTCGACAAAATGCAATGTAATCAAGAAAAGATTTATTTGGTTCACAGTTCAAGGTTAGAGGCCATCATTTCAGGGAAGGTAAGTAAGGAGCTTGAAGCAACTAGTTACATCCATCTACCATCAAGAGTTAGGAGTGATGAATTAACTCATACATGCTAGTGGTTAGCTCTCTACTCTTATACAGTCTAAGATCTTCTACCTAGGGAATGCTGCTACCATAGTGGGGGGCTCTTATTTTAAATAAGCAAACATTCAGTATTAACTCCCACAGAATAACCTGGTCTATATAACCTCTCATTTGTACTCTCTTCTGCAGTGAGTCTAGATTGTTAAAAGATGACAGTTAAAATCTTCACATCTCTCTTATTTTTCCTAAGCTATGTATATCATATGCTATATAAAAGAGAGTAATGGGTGTGTGACATTCCTTGTGGCTAAGAGAAAATCATCAGTGAGGGAAATAGGGAAGACTACCTATTAGACCAAGGGAATAAAGGTTAGTTGCCTTAAAAAGTCTTAGATCAGTTCTCTGGTACCTAAACTGTAAATCATTAGCATACATATTTGACGGTTTTAACGTGTTTTTAAAAATATTATTATACTTTAACTACTAGAAGAATTTGATAATGAAAATTTGACTGTACCAATGAAAATACCAAGGTTTCCATCTGATGAGCAATTTGTCCCATTTGTCTCCCATTCCAGGACTGGATACTAATTAACTGAAATCTGTGAACAGAGACTCTGTGAGGAGCACTCACTCATGAAACAGAGAAGCAAGCTGATGAGATTCATTAACAACTCTTTTCTGGCCTTGGTTTTTCCACAGTTGTTAGCTAATGCTCACTAGCAATGGAAGCAGTATCCAGTAAAATTTTTTGTGAGCACTGAAGGGCAACAGAAACACCTGTTGGACTGTGTATAACTCTCAAATTCTCAGAGTTGGTCTCCAGCCCATTCAGATTTGCCATCACCTGAGAACTCACCATCTACCTGCTAGAACTATCTAGCAAAGGGCCATAGGCAGGCAGGAAGTTGAGCAGTGGAAATATATTCCCTTGTTGTTCAGAAGGAAGAAAGCCTAAGTTCAAGGAACTGGTAGATTTAGTTTGGCATCCCAGGGTACCCTTGCCATGTCTATACATGGTAGTGAGAGAGAGGAGAGATAAGAGAGGGGGACAAAAAACACAGAGACAGACAGACAGACAGACAGGGAGAGAAAGTGTAAGGGAGAGGGAAAGGGGCAGAAGGGAAGAGAGGTGGAGGACAGGGGAAGAGACAGAGAGATAGAAGAGAGAGAGAGAGAGAGAGAGAGAGAGAGAGAGAGAGAGAGAGAGAGAGAGAGNAGAGAGAGAGAATGTGTGTGTGTGTGTGTGTGTGTGTGTGTGTGTGTGAGAGAGAGAGAGAGAGAGAGAGAGAGAGAGAGAGAGAGAGAGAGAGAGAGATTTGTAATCTTCCTTAAGGTTGACAGTCCTGTTGGGATTAGGACATCTGCATTCTGACTACATTTAACATTACTGTATACTAAAAGTCCTGTCTCCAAGTACAGACACTTAGGGAACCAGGGCTTCCACATATGTATCATGAAGAAACACAGTTCATTTAATGACACTCAAAACAAATGTGTACTCTCAACCTCATTTTAGATCCATCGTATCAAAAATATAGAGAGTCGAGCCCGACCGGTTCTGCATTCCTAACTTCTGTGTGTTGTTCTCAAGCACACTTAGGCTCAGAAACACATAGACTCAGAAGGATAGGGTAGGGACTCAGTACACAGCAGAAGATTTACTTGCATCCAGGCCCATGTCCATACTCACTTCCCAACCCAGGGCTTCTGACCAACACCAGAAGGGCCATTCGTATGACATCCACTGCCATTCATTCCCCAACACCAACCTGGGAACTTCTTTCTGCTCTTCCAATGACGTTACTTCAACAGGCCAACCATTTCTGCCAAACAATATAAGCCCCAATTTTCTAAACCTATCACTTTATTATTTTCAGATTTTACTCTTATAGAGTCCATGGTTTACACTGTAAGCATACTAATAGCACAAGGCTTTGCACAGGATAAACACACAAACACCCCAAATCATCTATTTATTTTGTCTCTAACTCTTTTCTAGATGCAGCTCCCAAAGAATGCTGGAGTGCTAGATCTAAACCAGTGTTGATTTAGGGCATCACATATCCATCTAGTCTTGGACACAATGCAATGTTACAATGCTGCTTATTAATTGAAAACATACCATTCATGTCTTTAAATTCATAGACCTCAAGCAGACATTCTTATCCTAACTGGACAGAAAAAGAACATGGGAAACTGAGGCTTGAATATAAGACTTCCATAGTAGAACATGGTCACTACAGTCTGTGAGAGTTATATTACATCCTTGAAAATAGTTCTTGACACAAAAAGGTAAAGTATTCATATGCAAATTAGCTTGATTTAGCCATTCCGCAATCATATTTCAAAACACGTTGCACATGACAAATAGATAACGGTTTTAAGTACTGTATAAGACAAGCGAGTTCAAATTCAATGACTATCCCAAAGACACCTTTGGAAAACCTCAAGGCTGCAAACCTGAAAGCACTGTTCCCTCCACTCAATGCTTGTGCTCATTTTTGCTGTTGTGTGATGGACCAAAAGATCTCTGCCCACATCTTAAATTTAGTGTCATGCTCACATGCTAACACACAAAGCTTTCTTGCAGAAATGGTGTTTTCAGTATCACTTTGGGGGCTTCTTTATTCGAATTCCCCATCTTGTACACACATATGCATGCACTCCTTTATACACACATACACTATATATTGCTAAAATAGACTGTCATGATAGGAAACTTGAGGGTGAGTTTCTTAAAGTAGATACTGTTAAATGACAGCAAAGAGCCCTAAATTATCTCACTGCTTTATACCAGATTTCTTGGCAGCCTTCAGAAGGCTTTCATCTTTACATTAAAGACACCAGAGGACCTCAGAGCATCACTTGAAAGCTCACAAGAAGCTCCGACAAACTTTTGCCCAAGGCAATTGATTGATAAATGAACATTAACAGCACACCTTGGATATGTGCATAAAGCTGAAAAAATCCATAAACATAAAATAATGGAATTCCCTTTTAAAAACCATGCATTCTGAGCTTCCTTGTCCAGAAAACAGTCCCAGTGATTACATTGTACTTATTTACAGCCACCTGCACATTGAAGACGGACTGGGCGATAAGATAATAAGCCACACCTGTTGGATTGTTTAGGCAACTGCAAACACCAGCTGAGAGAGTAATTAAAAGTAATGTTGCATCACAGCCTACCTGGGGTGTTCAACAACCTGGACATCCTGCAGAAGTAGGAGACATACTGTTCACAGTATTCAGCGCTGCTGGTGATGGCACTGATCTGGTCCATGGAGGCACTGTAGATGAGCTGTGTCACCGAATACTTTTCTGGGCTGTAGCCTACCACTGTCGTCTGCATCTGTAAGTCGTGAGACACTATGGTCCACACCTTGTCCTCTGTGGGCAGAGAAATAATTAAGACAGCAGCTCATTAGAACCCCGGTACTTCAAATGTCAGGAGAAAATTGAGCTGCATTTAGCTGCCATTTTCATTAAATTGGTATAAACCTGAGTTAGAGAGAGAAGTCCTGTCGGTATTTTAGTGTGTGTGTGTGTGTGTATGTGCACGTATGTGTTGTATGCACCTGTGTATGTGTGTGTATGCCTCCAAGTGCAGAAGAGAAGCATGCTAAGTGTGTTTTCTCAATCATTTCCTAATACATTTTTTAAAAATGCATTTGTAGTATAGACACATTTATACAATAGAGATGTGGCTACTTTTGTTTCTTCTCTTTTATCACTTAATTTGCACAAATAAAAAATGTCCCTCTGGTAGATTAAGAATGTCACTCAAACTCTTGCCCCTTCCTGAACTCTGTGCATCTGAATGGACATCTATTTAGAATAGCCTCTCTGAAGCAGGGGAACTTAGCTTAGTGTTTTATACTTTCATTTTAAATGACATTTTTATCAAAAAAATGGGAAAAATCTACAGCTGAATTGATGCTCGAAAAGCAATGAGCTTTGTGTCCTTTGTCTGCATTTTTTTCCTTCCTTGTCACCAAATGTTACTTTTCCTAGACAATTTTTCTAAGTATTATACTATTCCCACACCTATATCTGTTTACATATGTACATGGACACACTTCAGTTCAGGATCCACACGCATGAGAACAAGAGTATTTTTTTTTCTTTTTCTTCTTGAGTTTCTGTGACCCTGCTTAATATCATACACTCCAAGTCCACCCATTTCCCTGAAAACTTCTTTTCATTTACAGCTATTCCACTTTACATATTTATATTTACATTACTTCTCCTTACTTTGAGATGGGGTCTTACAGTAGGAGCTGCGGTGGGCTGCGTTCCGCCCAGTTCTGCACAGCTACCTTTACCCGAAATAATTACACGGAAACTGTATTCTTTTAAACACTGCTTGGCCTGTTAGTTTTAACCTCTTATTGGCTAGCTCTTACATATTGATCTAACTCATTTCTAATATTCTGTGTAGCACCACGAGCTGGCTTACCAGGAAAGATCTTAACTTGCGTCTGTCTGGAGTGGGAGAATCATGGCGACTGACTGACTCAGCTTCTTTCTCCCAGCATTCTGTTCTGTCTACTCTGCCTACCTAATTTTCTGTCTTAGCAGGGCCAAACAGTTTTCTTTATTAATTAACCAATGAAAGCAACAGATAAATACAAGACCCACCTCCATCAGGGTCTATTACTGAACAGGAAGCTGACAGTTTTGACTGGGTTGACCGGCTAGCACACTCCAGGGATCTGCCCATTTGTATGCCCTATGCCCAGTGTTTGGACTTGGTAGGACATATAGCCATCCCTATCTTTTATATGGGTGTTGGTGCTTTGAATTCAGACCCTCTTCCTTTCACTACGATTTCTCTTAGCTGAAGAGCAATCTTCCTTGTGCTATCTCTTCTTGTCTTAGATCTATGTTCTGCTTATAAGAACAAAAAATAATATTTTATTAAAATAATGAGACTTTTCACTAACAGAAAGAAGTACTGTTCCTGGTTGTGATTTTGACATCAGCCAGCAGTTCCAGTGTGAATCTCATTGTAATTACTATTCCATCCTGATTTTGGAACCTATCTCTTGCCTTTTGGTAACTCAATTGTCTCTCTTTCTGATGTGACCTCTGTTCTGTCAAATCACAGCCTTTCTTGAAAGCTGTGTGCTCTTTACAAAATGTGCATCTTCCTTGTCTTGTGAGCAAATGCTCTTTCACACTGGCCTTTCTGGCAAATGAGACCCTCCCTTTTCTGATTCTGTACAGTGTGGAGTGAGGTGAGAGAATAATTACCATTGTGTTTGAGAACCCGGGAGTCCCAAGGAAGGAAAAGTAGAATCGATTATAAGCTTTATAAAATTAAATGAACTCAAACTCCTTCACCACTTAAATTTTAATTGAAAATATTAGTATGAGCCTAAGACAATATCTTTGTTTTAAAATGTTGACCTATGCTTGAACTTAGTACAACAACAACAAAAAATCTCCAGAACAAGATGCTAGGCCTAATACCAAGTGACAACCATAAATACTATTTGCCATTAAGAGAAGAAATTAGGATCCTTAAAGGAATGACTGCTTCCTGGACTAGAAATAAACATGTTGAAAGGAGAGCCAGGGGCAACCCATCATTCCAGAAAGGAGTATGTCAATGGACCCTGAGGCAGTTCAAAAATGATCCTGTAAGAAAGTAGGCATGGTGTATGTGCCTGTAACCCTAGAACTGTGGGGAGCAGAGAAATATTACTGTGACTTGCTGCTATCAGCCAAGTTTCAGGTTCAGGGAGAGATCCTGTCTCAAGACATGTCAGGACAGTCAGTGTTCTCCTCTGACATACATATGCACAACACACACACACTCACACACACACACACACACACACACACACACTTAAAACTGAGTAGCTAAATTTGGTATAGATAAAGGCAATTAGAATAATGAAAGTAAAGTCTAAAGCATTATGCTATATATATATGTATATATATGTATATATATGTATATATATATATATATAGAGAGAGAGAGAGTCTGTAATTAAAGCTGACATTAGATATATTTGAGAAATTATTTATCCATACTCTGAAAATAAAATTTAACACATATTGCTAACATTACATAAAAACCTATTTCAGTTGGATTAATGTCTTAAAAGAAATGCAGACTTTCAGATAAACTTAAGGAGACTTAAAAGAATATTTATATTATTTTTAAGCAGGCCAAAAACTGAGGGCATTATCATGGCAGAACACATACATGTGAGTTTGTTAAACCTAAACTATCTTCTTTATCGAATTATGAGATCATGTGAAAAGTTAAGCCATGGATTATAGGAGATATTTATAAAACATAGATCTAACAAAGATCAGTATCTAGCTGTACTAGTCTTTGTCTTTGGGGCCTCCAATCAACTCCCAAATCATGACAGGGATTTATTATTAGTTCTGAATGCTAGGCCTAACTTAGGCTAGGTCTTTTAACCAAACCTATTTCTCCTTATCTATATTTTGCCTCAGGGCTTATTACCTTTCTTACTTTTGTATATCTTACTTTCACTTCTCTGTCTGTCATCTACCTTTTTTTTTTTTTTTGCCTTTGGACATGTCCCTCAATTTTTCCTTCTTCTCTCTTCTTCCTTCTCTGGAGTCTAGATTTCTCTTCCTTGTTATTCCTCCTGTCTGCCAGTCCCTCCTAGTCTTTCTCCTGCCTAGCTGTTGGCTGTTCTGCTCTTTATTAGACCAATCAGGTGCCTTAGGCAGGCAAGATGAAACAAATGCAATACATCTTTTTATGATTAAACAAATGCAGCATAAACAAAATTAACACACCTTTACATAGTTAAAGTAATATTCTGCAGCATAAATAAATATAACACATCTTTGCCTAGTTAAAGTAATAATCTACGAGAGCTAGCTACATTAAGATCATCTGTAAATTATGACAGGCACAGAATTCAAAAGAAATAATAGGAATATAATTTTTTAAGTGGGTCACACAACTAGTACACTAACACACAGGGAAATACACATAAAAACAATTTTAAAAAAGAAAAAGAAAGCCCAGCTGAAAAAATCTGGGAGATACAAATTTAAACTATAGTGATTTTATTTTGTGTTTATCTGACTGGCAAGGCAAAAATGTTTCTTCTTCAGTCAGAATGGCTACCAATATCAATGACAAGACATGCTGGCAAGGGTTCTGGGAAAGGTTAACACTTACTACTGATGTTTGGAGTGTAAACTGGTTTAGATATTGTGGAAATCAGTGTGGATGTTCTTCAAATAGCTGAAAATAGTTCTGCAATAAGACCCAGTTTCTAAGGTGATCCCAAAGAAAAACATATAGCTATCCTCCTGATTATGGGAAGTAGACAAGATTGCCGGGCAAAAAATGGGATCTTGGGGGAGGGGGGTGAGGGAGGTAAGGGGAGATGGGGAGAGAAAAGTGAGAAGGGGAGGTTGGGGGGAACTTGGGAAACGGGATGTTTGGGATAAAGGAAGGTCGGATAGGGGAGCAGGGAAGCACACATCTTAATTAAGGGATCCATCTTAGGGTTGGCAAGAGATTTGGTGCTCCCAGGTGCCCAGGGCGATGTCCCCAGTTAGTTCCTGGGGCAGCTGAGGACAGAGAACCTGAAATGACCCTATCCTATAGCCATACTGATTAATATCTTGCATATCACCATAGAACCTTCATCTGGAGATGGATGGAGATAGAGACAGAGACCCACACTGGAGCACTGGACTGAGCTCCCAATGTCCCAAGGAGGAGCAGAAGGAGGGAAAATATGAGCAAAGAAGTCAGGACCACGAGGGGTGCACCCACCCACGGAGACAGTGGGGCTGATCTATTGTGAGCTCACCAAGGCCAGCTGGACTACGACTGAAAAACCATGGGATAAAACCGGACTCTCTGAATATGGCGGACAATGAGGGCTGCTGAGAAGCCAAGGACAATGCCACTGGGTTTTGATCCTACTTCATGTTCTGGCTTTGTGGGAGCCTAGCCAGTTTGGATGTCCACCTTCCTAGACCAGGATGGTGCGGGGAGGACTTTGGACTTTCCACAGGGCAGGGAACCCTGACTGCCCCTCAGACTGGAGAGGGAGGGGGAGAGTAGTGGGGGGGAGGAGGAGAGGAGAGGGAGGAGGGGGGAAAAGGGAGACGGGGAGGGAAATGGGAGGCGGGGAGGAGGCGGAAATCTTTTTTTTTCAATAAAAAATTATATTTAAAAAAAAAAAAGACCCAGTTATATCACTTTGGGTCGTATACCCAAAGGGCTTTCATGCTATTGCAGAGACACTTGCTCATCCGTCTTTCCTAATGCTCTATTCATAACAGCCAGAAACTGGAAACATCAAAGATGACCATGAGGTGACAACTGGACAGTTAGAATATTTACACATTAGAATATTATTCAGCTATAAAGA